TAAAGACGTGAACCTGAATAAAGACACGAAGACAGAAAGAAGTGTTCGAGTCCTTTTATTACACACACACAGAGAGAGAGGCACAGGGTCAGTCTGCGACAGAGTCTCTTGCGATTGGGTTGCGTCTCTTGTCATGATGTCGGATCTGTTGTGATGGTGTCGTGATGGCGCGTGTGTCGTGATGGGTTCTGTTTGTCGTGATGGTGTCGTCTCTGCCGTGATGGTGTCGTCTCTGCCGTGATGGGGTCGTCTCTGTCGTTGCTGTTTGCTGTTTGCACTTCGTGTTGACATCTCATCCCGTTCGTGGAAGGCGCGAATCGTGAGCGTCGACCTTGCTCGACTAACCTTGGCCCCATAGGCGGCTACCCATTTACCCCTGCTCAAGGGTCCGAGCCCGAAACGTCCCCGTGCCGCGTGCGCGATTTCCCCGCGAGGCGGTGTTCGTTCGTGGCGAATCCGTGAAAGCCACCGTCACGCCGAGTTGACTGGAGGAGAGGGGAAGTCCAAATGGGCCACACGGAGTCCATATTCAACTCGCGATCGACACAGCCACAGATGGTGAAGATTACACCGCGCGCACGGGCGCGTGTGCGTCCGCGTGTGTGCGTCTGCGTGTGTGGGTCCGTGTTCGTGTGTCCGCGTGTGGGTCCGTGTGACGTCCGCGTGTGTGCGTCTGCGTGTGTGGGTCCGTGTTCGTGTGTCCGCGTGTGGGTCCGTGTGTGTCCGCGTGTGTGTCCACGTGCGTGTCCGCGTGTGTGTCCGCAGGTACTATTCCTATTTGGGTTTAAATTAAGGTCAATTGTCCATCTGTGTGTATGTGGGATAATCAGTGTGCGTGCGCGTCATGATCTGTGTACGTGGGGAGCGGTAGTGTAGCGGTTAGCGCCTTGTGCTGCGAACCCGGCGATTCCCGCTCACGGCCAACACCAGTGACGGATTATCTGTACCGGTCCTGGGCCTCCCCTAGGTAGACTCGGCTTTAAAATAATACCTGGCGCGTTGTGTGAACGTGAACGTTGGGGAGACAAAGGCCGCTGGGCGTGGTGTTGGCCACCCACTCTTCCGTGTGCCGTGCCACCTTGCTCACAGCACTTGCCCCAGTAATCTGTTCAGGCTATACTGCGATCTTTGTCTTTGATGCCAATGTGCATACAATCCCTTCTGTCAGTCGTATTTCCCTTGCTGGAGATAAGAATGATTGAGACATCATTCCCTGATGTTGTTTTTCCCCCATTTCTTATTCAGCAAGATCCTTCATGAACGGAACAGCGGAACACGCAGAGAACAACCAATCACGGGTCACGAGCTTGGTTTGGTAAAGGTTTCTCTACCACAAATCTTGTTACGCAATAGACCAATGAATACTCATCACAAATGTACATCGAGCTTCTTTCGTACCGTACGTAGCCAGTCGTGCCGAAATCGGAGGTGCGGGGGAAGATAGCAAACTAAACACCAACAACAACAACACCAACAACAACAAGCACGCAGTTCTCTAACCCTGGGAGCAGACTCGGTGGAAATGGACACAGCCATCAACAACATCTCACAAACATCAATAACAAAGTTATCGATAAACATTTTGGAAACATATTTCCAACAATGGAACACGACGCACACGGGAAAGGGGTGGGGGGCAGTCACAGGCCACGAGGCCTCGCAGAGACAGAAGGCAGAGAGGGCGGCACGCGCCGAGAGAATCGCGGCGCGAGGGGACACGGCGGAGGTGCGAGGGGACACGGCGGAGGTGCGAGGGGGCACGGCGCTTCTTACAAAGCGGTGGGAATGAACTGCGGGGAAATTGTTGAAGAAACTTCACGAATGCGGCTGGCGAAGTTGGGCTCAAGGTAACGACGATTGCAGATACCTGCCCAAGGGGAGACGCGACTCGGGGAGACGCGACTCGGGGAGACGCGACTCGGGGAGACGCGACTCGGGGAGACGCGACTCGGGGAGACGCGACTCGGGGAGACGCGACTCGGGGAGACGCGACTCGGGGAGACGCGACTCGGGGAGACGCGACTCGGGGAGACGCGACTCGGGGAGACGCGACTCGGGGAGACGCGACTCGGGGAGACGCGACTCGGGTGGTCGAGGCTAACGCCGGAGTGGCAGCCAACGGAGGGGAAGGCGCTCGTCCACTGCGGAGACGTGGAGCCATGACATCGTCTCCTGCTCGGGTGTCAGTGGATCGGTACATCGCAGGACGTTCGAGATTTCGGCGGCTTGGGGAGGCCTTCATCCAGCAGTGGATAAGCAGTCGCTGCTGATAAAATACGCACGTTTATGTGTGTCTGTGTGTATGCATGAGTATGTGTGTCTGTGTGTATGCATGAGTATGTGTGTCTGTGTGTATGCACAAGTATGTGTCTGTGTGTATGCATGAGTATGTGTGTCTGTGTGTATGCACGAGTATGTGTGTCTGTGTGTATGCATGAGTATGTGTCTGTGTGTATGCATGAGTATGTGTGTCTGTGTGTATGAATGAGTATGTGTGTCTGTGTGTATGCATGAGTATGTGTGTCTGTGTGTATGCATGAGTATGTGTGTCTGTGTGTATGCATGAGTATGTGTGTCTGTGTGTATGCATGAGTATGTGTGTCTGTGTGTATGCATGAGTATGTGTGTCTGTGTGTATGCATGAGTATGTGTGTCTGTGTGTATGCATGAGTATGTGCGTCTGTGTGTATGCATGAGTATGTGCGTCTGTGTGTATGCACGAGTATGTGTGTCTGTGTGTATGCACGAGTATGTGTGTCTGTGTGTATGCACGAGTATGTGTGTCTGTGTGTATGCACGAGTATGTGTGTCTGTGTGTATGCACGAGTATGTGTGTCTGTGTGTATGCATGAGTATGTGTGTCTGTGTGTATGTGTGTATGCATGAGTATGTGTGTCTGTGTGTATTTATGAGTATGTGTGTTTGTGTGTATTTATGAGTATGTGTGTCTGTGTGTATGCACGAGTATGTGTGTCTGTGTGTATTTATGAGTATGTGTGTCTGTGTGTATGCATGAGTATGTGTGTCTGTGTGTATGCATGAGTATGTGTGTCTGTGTGTCTGTGTGTATGCACGAGTATGTGTGTCTGTGTGTATGCATGAGTATGTGTGTCTGTGTGTATTTATGAGTATGTGTCTGTGTGTATGCATGAGTATGTATCTCTGTGTATGCATGAGTATGTGTGTCTGTGTGTATGCATGAGTATGTGTGTCTGTGTGTATTTATGAGTATGTGTGTCTGTGTGTATGCACGAGTATGTGTGTCTGTGTGTCTGTGTGTATGCACGAGTATGTGTGTCTGTGTGTATGTGGGGAGCAGTAGCGGAGCGGGTAGCGCGATGCGCTTCGAACCTGGCGACCCGAGTTTGATTCCTACTCACGGCCAAAACCAGCGACGATGATCTGAACCGGTCCTGTGCTTCTCGAGGTTGACTCACTCTCAAATGAGTACATGTTGCGATGTGTACACATCGCCACTGGGGAGACAAAGGCGGCCGAGAGTGGTGCTGACCACCCAACCCCCTCGTGTGCCGTGCCGGTCTTCATAGGTGCTCGCAAACAGCACTGCCCCTAATAGTTTGCTAAAGACTACACGGGTGATCTTTGTGTGTGTGTGGGGAGCGGTAGTCGTGGCTGGCGCGCTGCACCACGAAAACGGTTTCGCGAGTTCTATTCCCTCTCACTGCCAACAACATCTGAACCAGGCATGGGTTTCTCCTAGGTCGACTCAGCCTTAAAATAAGTACATGGTGCGGGGGGTAATCGTCAGAACTGGGAAGACAAATGTGTCCGTGTGTTGTTCTTGGCTACACCGCACACGAATAGCCCTTGCCCTGCGCCCAAGTTACAGGCTACGCGGCTGATCTGAGTCAGTATGTAAGTATATGTGTACACGCTACGAGCGTCAGACGATGGGCGACAGCGAGGTACGTGGAACGTATCCCACATTCACTGCCGCGAAATACGAAGGGGACCCAGGACCCCCGAGTGAAGGGGTCTAAACGAGGGGTCTCCGGTAGCTTCGTCCTCTGTGCGTGCGCTGCTCTGATTACCAAAATCGAATCTGATCGATCTGATCAATTTATTTGGCCGAAACGCCGATGCAAGATCGCAGTCGCTGCTTGCAGTTTTTTTTACAAACAGTATATCCATACAGTATATATACAGTATAAAGATACAGTATATACAAGCGCCGCAACAGCATCATCATCACCAATATCGTCATTCTTCTCATCACCACCACCATCATTGTAATCATTAAAATCATCATAATGATCACTATCAGCACTATCATCATCACCACCATCATCTTCATTAACATCACCATCATTATCGCCATCACGACCATCAGCACCATCATCATCAATATCACCACAACCACCAACATCACCATTATCACCATCAACATCACCATTACAACCATTATCACCATCAACATCACCATTACAACCATTATCATCACCACTATCACCTGCACATATTTCACCCCAGGTCTTCATGCAATAGATACTCGAGGTCTACCTGTGTCTAGTCTACCTGGGTCTACCTGTGTCTACCTGTGTCTACCTGGGTCTACCTGAGTCTACCTGGGTCTACCTGGGTCTACCTGGGTCTACGAGAAACACCATCTCGTTGCAGCGGCCCTCCAGCACCAACCAGCAGCCTTCAGCACTCGCCAGGACTCGAAGCTGTGCGGATGGCGCTGGGGGCGGTGAAGGCGGAACCGGTTCGCAGCCCCCCTCTTCGTTCTTCGCCGAGGGGAAACAGCGCCTCGGCTGTTTGTGCGCAATTAGGTGACGAAGTTAATTGATTGTTTCCGCTCGCCCTGGGGCGCTGCTCTCACCCCACCAACCCCCACCCCCTCCCCCACGGAGGTAATCGGCACCCGAGTCCGCCACGCGTCAAATACAAACGAGGGACGAGCGCAAGGAGTTAAAAATTTAATGTGGGGTGATTATCTTACAGCGTGCATCGCGACGCGTTTATTTATACTCACGCATTCACTCACTCACGCACTCACTCACGGACTCACTCACACACTTACACACTCACACAGTCACTCACGCACTCACAGACTCACACACTTGCACACTCACTCACGCACTCACTCACACAGTCACTCACGCACTCACAGACTCACTCACACACTTACACACTCACTCACGCACTCACTCACACAGTTACTCACGCACTCACAGACTCACTCACACACTTACACATTCACTCCCGCACTCACGCACTCACTCACACAGTTACTCACGCACTCACAGACTCACTCACACACTCACTCACGCACTCACTCATATACTCACACAGTCCCTCACGCACTCACTCACGCACTCACTCACGCACTCACTTACACAGTCACTCACTCACGCACTCACTCACGCACGCACTTACGCACTGACTCGCTTACACACTGACTCTCTCAAGCACTGACTCACTCATGTACTCGCTCACGTACTCGCTCGCTCACGGATCTGTACACGGAGAGCAGAGAATCGCACACGGACAGCAGCAACAGCAGAGAGGGCGCCTCGCTCCGGACTCAAACTCGGTGAGATTCAACTCGCGGGCGACGGAGACGAAGCTGTTCCTCCTCCTCAACATCACGGCGGCGGCGCGGTCATGCACGCGAGTGTGATATGTACAGAGTGTGTACTCGTGGGTACACGTGTGTGTGTACATGGCGTGAACTCTGTGCGTGCGTGTGTGCACATGCAGACGGCAAGTTGCACGTGTTTACGCACAGAGCAAGTACACTTGTGTGCACGTGTGTAGAGTACATGTGCACCTGGGTGTGTAGACAATGTACAAGTGTGTGGACACGGCGCGTGCACACGGGTGTGGGTACGCGACGGGTACGCGCGGGGTACGCGGAGCGTGCGCACGTGTGTGCGTGAGTTCACAGAAGCCACGTGCGTCCCTCTTCATCGCTCGATCGAGAAGAAGCGCGGACTCCTCCAACTCCTGAGCGCCGATTGAACCTCCTCCGCCCATTCCCTCGATGTCTGCGGCGGCGCCCGCGTGCGGCCGAGGCTCCGCGCGACTCCCGCGGTTCTTCCTCCTCCTCCACCTCCTTCTCCACCTCATCCTCCTCCTCTTCTTCTTCCCTGAGTCTGCGCGGCTCCACCGCCCGCGCCGCGTTCAAGTAATCGTAGAGGGGGCCTCGCGTCCAAGGGGGCCGGGGGGGGGACAGGGAGGGGGGAGGGAGGTAAGGGGGTCAAGGTGGGAGGTCAGAGGAGCCACCCGGGTCCGGAACCCCGATATGGGGGACGTGGAGAATGGAGGAGTGCAGCGATGAGGGAGTCTCCTTAGGGGGGGGTCTCCTTGGGGTGTACGGAAGGCGTGGGGGGGTCCCTCACATGTGCGGGTAGAAGGAGTGCGCCCCGCCGTACGCGGGCGAGTTGAGGAGGAACGGCGGCAGCACCGAGTGCGAGGGCATGAAGGGCAGCTGCGCGGCGGCGCACACGAGGCCCGCGGGGCCCGAGTAGTGCGGCGGCCCCATGGAGAGGTGGTGCGGCATCGGCGGGGAGATCGACCCCGAGCCGAGCCCCCCTCCCGCGGGGCAGCTCGTGTCGGCTCCGGGGTTCTGCTTCTTCCACTTGGTTCGCCGGTTCTGGAACCAGATCTTCACCTGCGTCTCCGTGAGGCTGAGCGACAGCGCCAGGTTGAGGCGCTCGCACACGAGAGGTATCGCGTCGACTTGAACTTGTTCTCCAGCGCCACCAGCTGCTCGTAGGTGAACGCCGTGCGCGCCCTCCGCGGCTTCCCCGACTTGGCTTCGGACGAGCACCGTTTGCGCTTCTGCTTCTGCGAGCCGCCCCCGGTGCCGTCCCCACTCCCCTTGCTTCCACCACCACCGCCGCCGCCTCCTCCATCCTCGGAGCCATCGCCGCCGCCGCCTCGCTCCTCCCCGTCCGCCCCGGCGCCGTCTCTGCCGCCCGCTTTGTCCCGCGCCGCCGCCACCGCCGCCGCCTCGGCGCCGCGATCCTCCTCGGGAGCGCAGTCCCGGCCGGGCCCCGCGCAGAGCCCGCGTCCCTCGGGCTCCGAGTCGTCGTGGAGCTGAAACCCTGAGAAGCGGGGGGCACGGGGGTCCAACGGAGGAGCGGGGGGGGGGCAAAGAAGGGCAGCGACTCTCGTGAGCGCGGAGCGGCTTCACTTCGTGACGACAAGAAGCTGCGCGAGTTGAGTGGCCCCGGGTCGAGGTGCGAGTCGCACCACGGGGCTGCGGGTGAACACCGCAGGGCGCTCTCTCTGCAGTGCGCGTGTGTGTGTGTGTGTAGACGTGGGGTGGCGTGTGTGTGTGTAGACGTGGGGTGGCGTGTATGTGTGTAGACGTGTGGTGGCGTGTGTGTGTAGACGTGGGGTGGCGTGTGTGTGTAGACGTGGGGTGGCGTGTGTGTGTGTAGACGTGGGGTGGCGTGTGTGTGTGTATACGTGGGGTGGCGTGTGTGTGTGTAGACGTGGGGTCGTGCTGGTGGTGTGTGTGTGTAGAGATGGGGTCGTGCTGGTGGCGATGTGTGTGTAGAGATGGGGTCGTGCTGGTGGTGTGTGTGTGTAGACGTGGGGTGGCGTGTGTGTGTGTAGACGTGGGGTCGTGCTGGTGGTGTGTGTGTAGAGATGGGGTGGCGTGTGTGTGTGTAGACGTGGGGTCGTGCTGGTGGTGTGTGTGTGTAGACGTGGGGCCGTGCTGGTGGTGTGTGTGTGTGTAGACATGGGGTCGTGCTGGTGGCGATGTGTGTGTGTGTAGACGTGGGGTCGTGCTGGTGGTGTGTGTGTAGACGTGGGGCCGTGCTGGTGGTGTGTGTGTGTCAGTTTTGGCGCGAGGCGTTGGACATCGGAGAATCGATGCCATAGCCCGTGTCCGTGTGTCACTCTGCGTGTCAGTCCGTGTGCCACCCTGCGAGTCAGTCCGTGTGTTACCCTGCAAGTCAGTCCGTGTGTCACTCTGCGTGTCAGTCCGTGTGCCACCCTGCGAGTCAGTCCGTGTGTCACCCTGCGTGTCAGTCCGTGTGTCACCCTGCGTGTCAGTCCGTGTGTCACCCTGCGTGTTAGTTAATGTGTCACTCTGCGTGTCAGTCCGTGTGCCACCCTGCGTGTCAGTCCGTGTGTCACCCTGCGTGTCAGTCCGCGTGCCACCCTGCGTGTCAGTCCGTGTGTCACCCTGCCTGTTAGTTAATGTGTCACTCTGCGTGTCAGCTCGAACGTGAGCCCCTGAGGTCAACTGATATTGCTCTAAGGTCATTGATGTCGAAGGTGACGAAACTGAAAAATAAATAATGGTGCGTAATCACAATCCTTGCGTCCGTGTGCCTGTGCGCATCTCCGCGAGTGCTTGGTGTGTGTCTGTGTGTGCAGCGGTGAGCTGCGCGATACGAATCCGGCGACCAGAGTTCTCGTTCCCGTCACGGCCAAGACCAGTGACCATTATTTGAACCGGTCGTGGACCTCCCCTAAGTCGATTCAGCCTCAAATGAGTATTTGATGCGGCGTGTAAACATCGCCACTAAGGAGACAAAGGCGGCCGGGCGTGGTGCTGGCCACCTTTTCCCCTCGTGTGCCGTTCCGGCCTTCATAGGTGCTCGCTCACTGCACTTGCCCCAACAGTCTGTAAATGCTACACGGGGGATCTTTGTCTGTGTAAAGGATTCGCATCTCAACTCTGGGCCAGTCGCCCGCGGCTCTAAACCGCGACGTCTCCGCTCCGCACTTAGAGATCGCGATTCTCACCAAAGACAAAGATGCCCCGTTGCAGTCCTAACAAACTGTTGGGACAAGTGCCGGCACGGCGCACGAGGGGTGGGTGGCCAGCACCACGCGCAGCCGCCTTTATCTCCCCACTGCCGATGTTTTATACACATCGCACCAGGTACTCGTTTATGGCCCAGTCGACCTAGAGGAGGCTCTAGGGCGGACTCGTAGCGCAGTGCGATCACTACCGACAAAGATCCTCTCTGCAGTCTGCACAGACTGTTGGGGAAAGCGCCTTCCCGCTTGCGACAGACAGATTCACAGACACACGCATTTACATGCACATACATACACACTGATGTTCACATTACACGCACATGCACACACACACAGAGACATTCAACCAAACACAAGGATGCCCCGTATAGTTTATAACAGGCTGTTGGGGCAAGTGCTGTTAGCGAGCACCTATTAATGCTGAATGGCACTGTGCATTGGGGTGGTGTTGGTAACACTACGCACGGCCGCATTCGTCCCCCAGTGATGTTACGTACACACGGCAGATGCACCTACAGTCCTGCACCCAAACTCACCCAAACTCACGCCTAACATCACGGACACTCGGGTGGTGGTGGTGGCATTTTGGAGGCGAGGGTTGGTGGATCACATGAAGATGGGGGAGACTCGCTTGCCGCGGGCGTCGAGGAGGAGGCGTTCTCTGTCTCGCCACGAGTTTATGAACTCCACCTGCTCCGTCTGTACGGGATAGAGCGTTGCACCCTCGCACGCACGCGCGGGTTTTCTCCGGGCGCTGCGGTTTCCCTCCCATATATAAAAACAACCTCTCTCGTTAATTGGCCGATTACGCCTCGATATATATATGACAGCAGAGCTTGGCAAGGGAGGAATTTTGCGCCGACTCCCTCACAAGGCCAATTCACAAGCACTAACATCCAAACGCTCACGCACACTCATGAGTTCACACACAAAGACCCCCAGAATCGCCTTGAACAGACTGTTGAGGCAAGTGCAGTTAGAGAGCGGCTATGAAGGCCGACACGGCACACGAAGGGGTGGGTGGCCAGCACCACGCCCGGCCACCTTTGTCTCCCCAGGGCGATGTTTACACACCGCACCAGGTACTCATTGTTAAGGCTGAGTCGATTTAGGGGAGGTCAAGGCCCACTCGCCCTCTCACACGCACTATCGTACACACGCATTCACTCTCACACACACTCATCATTCACTCTCTCACACGCTCATCCACTCACACTCATTCACTCATGCACTCTCACTCACATAAACACTCATTCACTCTCACACACACTCACCATTCACTCTCCCACACACTCATTCACTCTCTCATACACTCATTCACTCTCTCACACACTCATTCACTCTCTCACACACTCATTCACTCTCTCACACACTCATTCACTCTCACTCACACTCATTCACTCTCACACTCATTCACTCTCTCACACACTCATGCACTTTCTCACACACTCATTCACTCTCTCACACACTCATTCACTCTCTCACACACTCATTCACTCTCTCACACACTCATTCACTCTCTCACACACTCATTCACTCTCACACTCATTCACTCTCTCACACACTCATCACTCTCTCACACACTCATTCACTCTCCTCACACACTCATTCACTCTCTCACACACTCATTCACTCTCTCACACACTCATTCACTCTCTCACACACTCATTCACTCTCTCACACACTCATTCACTCTCTCACACACTCATTCACTCTCTCACACACTCATTCACTCTCTCACACACTCATTCACTCTCTCACACACTCATTCACTCTCTCACACACGTGAGTCATTCACTCTCTCACACACGTGAGTCATTCACTCTCACACACGTGAGTCATTCACTCTCTCACACACTCATTCACTTTCTCACACACTCATTCACTCTCTCACACACTCATTCACTCTCTCACACACTCATTCACTCTCTCACACACTCATTCACTCTCTCACACACTCATTCACTCTCTCACACACTCATTCACTCTCTCACACACCTCCTTCACTCATCCACTCTTCACCACCTCATTCACTCTCTCACACACTCATTCACTCTCTCACACACTCATTCACTCTCTCACACACTCATCACTCTCTCACACACTCATTCACTCTCTCACACCCTCATTCACTCTCACACACGTGAGTCATTCACTCTCTCACACACTCATTCACTCTCTCACACACTCATTCACTCTCCACACACTCATTCACTCTCTCACACACTCATTCACTCTCTCACACACTCATTCACTCTCTCACCACTCATTCACTCTCTCACACACTCATTCACTCTCTCACACACTCATTCACTCTCTCACACACTCATTCACTCTCTCACACACTCATTCACTCTCTCACACACTCATTCACTCTCTCACACACTCATTCACTCTCTCACACACTCATGCACTTTCTCACACACTCATTCACTCTCTCACACACTCATTCACTCTCTCACACACTCATTCACTCTCTCACACACTCATTCACTCTCTCACACACTCATTCACTCTCTCACACACTCATTCACTCTCTCACACACTCATTCACTCTCACACTCATTCACTCTCTCACACACTCACGCACTTTCTCACACACTCATTCACTCTCCCTCACACACTCATTCACTCTCTCACACACTCATTCACTCTCTCACACACTCATTCACTCTCACACTCATTCACTCTCTCACACACTCATGCACTTTCTCACACACTCATTCACTCTCACTCACACACTCATTCACTCTCTCACACACTCATTCACTCTCTCACACACTCATTCACTCTCACACTCATTCACTCTCTCACACACTCATGCACTTTCTCACACACTCATTCACTCTCACTCACACACTCATTCACTCTCTCACACACTCACGCACTTTCTCACACACTCATTCACTCTCTCACACATTCATGCACTCTCTCACACACACATTCACTCTTGCATACACTCATTCACTCATGCACTCGTTCACTCACATACTAATCCACTCATTCACTCTCACTCACACTCACCATCCACTCACACTCATTCATTCACTCTCCCACACGCTCATCCACTCACACGCTCACATATCCCCTCATTCTCGCCCGCGTAATGGCACTCAAACACCCGGACACAACAAAAAAAACCTCCCCATCTGATCGTCATTTAATTGCCCCCCCCCCTCCCCAATTACAATTCCCTGTGAGGGGGGGGGCAGCGTCTCCCAGCTCGGCTGTGGTTATCGCGAGTGGGGAGAGCGTTGTGGGGGGCCGGGGGGGGGTCCATTAGCGGAGCGCGGCGCTTTTCTGCTGATGTTTGTTTAGATGGATTAACCTTCATTTCTCATTAAAGTCCCTTTTTAATTTACAGTGGCCGTGGGAGAGGCGTGATTAGGAGCGCGGGTCGAAAGGTAGCCCAGATCAATACCCCCGCTAATAACTCTAATAAGTTTTAATCGGGCAATTATCTGATTCCTGATCTTATAATTTAGACGTTGGAGGAGTGTTTGCAAGCTGCAGGAAGGAGATACGGGGAAGTCGATAATGGGATATCGATCCGAGAATCTGCGCCTGCCACTCCGAGGCGGTGTCACCGCCACGGCTCCGAAGCGCCGCCGCCGCCGCCGCTCTAAACGCACCGGGGAGGCTGTTAATTTTTCCGAGATAACCCACTTTTGTACAATTAGTCCGATTCGCTTTGAATAACGGGGAGATAAGGAGAAAATTGGATGTGTCACGGCGAGTAATGAGGCTCTCCGGGCAGTCCCCCGCTGCCGCTGCTGTTGCTGCCGCTGCCGAGGCCTCGCGGAGTGGAGAGCTCGCCCCCCCCCGAGCCGTCCCCTGCACCACGAACGAATCTGGAATTGAACCGTGGCTCAGGAACTCTTGAACTCGAGGCCACGGAGTTGCGGGCGGGCGGGCGGGACGTCTCCCCGGCGCCCGAGACTTGTGGATGTCGTCTCTCTGTCGCTCTGTCTCCGCCTTCCTCTATCTCTCTCTGAGTCTCTGTGTTTCTCTGTGAGTCTCTGTGTCTCTCTGTGAGTTTCTGTGTCTCTCTGTGAGTCTCTGTGTGAGTCTCTGTGTATGAGTCTCTGTGTAAGTTTCTGTGTATGAGTCTCTGTATGAGTCTCTGTATGAGTATCTGTGTGTCTCTCTGTGTATGAGTCTCTGTGTGTGTCTCTGTGTGAGCCTTTGTGTGTGTCTCTGTGTACGATTCTCTCTGTATGAGTCTCTATGTCTCTCTGTGTACGAGGCTCTGTGTGAGTCTCTATGTGAGCCTCTGTGCGTGAGTCTCTGTATATGAGTATCTGTGTCTCTCTGCATGTGAGTCTGTATATTAATCTCTGTGCCTCCCTGGATTAGAGTGTCTGTGTATGAGTGTATATGTATGGGTCTCTCTGTGTATGAGTATCGCTGTGCACGAGGCTTAATGTGTATGAGTCTCTCTGTGGGTTGTCCCTCTCTTTGGTTCGCTGTCTCTTCCTCTGTTTCCTCTGCATGTCTCTCTGTCTCTAGCGATGTATAGGCCCGTCTCGCGTTGCTCTCTCTGTACGTTTTTGTTTTGATGTCTGATTAATTCTTCGTCTCGCTGTCTGTGTCTATGTCTCCTCCGTCTTCCCCTGTAGCGTCTCCGTCTCTAGATCATCCGATGTTTATCGTTGACCTCTGCATCTCCCTCTGAGCCCCTGTTCATATGTCTCTCTCTCTCTGTGTCTCTTCTGCGTCGTCTCTGTCTCGGGCTCTGTGCGCGTCTCGGCGTCGTCTCTCGCTCGGCCCCGTGGAGTCGCGAGAGGGGGCCACGCGGAGCCCGCCGGGCCCAGACTGGGGCCACGCGAACGGTTCCATGGCGTGACGAGTGCGATGACGACTCTTGTCATGGGCAGATTCCTATCGTCGTCGTCGTCGATTCTTTGGAATTGGAATCGCACCTGTATAGCGAAATCACGGGCGTGATGTCCACGTTGAAGTTCGCACAAAACCCGCACTGCCTCTATGCGACGATCGACCCCACCACCTCTACCACCACCACCTCTACCACTACCAGCAGTGCCACCACCACCACCACCTCTATCACCACCTCTACCACTACCAGCAGTGCCACCACCACCACCACTACCAGCAGTGCCACCACCACCACCACCTCTATCACCACCACCACCACTACCAGCAGTGCCACCACCACCACCACCTCTATCACCACCAACACCACTACCAGCAGTGCCACCACCACCACCACCACCACCTCTATCACCACCAACACCACTACCAGCAGTACCACCACCACCACCTCTATCACCACCAACACCACTACCAGCAGTGCCACCACCACCACCACCTCTATCACCACCAACACCACTACCAGCAGTACCACCACCACCTCTACCACTACCAGCAGTGCCACCACCACCACCACCACCTCTATTACGACCTCTACCACTACCAGCAGTGCCACCACCACCACCACCACCACCTCTATCACCACCTCTACCACTACCAGCAGTGCCACCACCACCACCACCTCTATCACCACCTCTACCACTACCAGCAGTGCCACCACCACCACCACCACCACCTCTAGCACCACTACCACCACTACCAGCAGTGCCACCACCACCTCTAGCACCACTACCTGCAGTGCCACTACCACCACCACTGTCTGCAGTGCCACCACCACCAACACCACCTCTACCACCACCACCAACACCACCACCACCACCACCTCTACCACCACCTGCAGTGCCACCACCACCACCAACACCACCTCTACCACCACCACCAACACCACCTCTACCACCACCTGCAGTGCCACCACCACGACCGTTACCACCAACACCACGTCCCCTGTCACGAGTACCACCACTCAGCGGAGTCGTCACTGCCACACACAAATACCACCACTCGCTACGTCCATCGCCACCAAACTTAAAGCGAAACGATGTTTTACTCATGTTACTCCTCATGTCACTCCTCATGTCACTCCTCATGTTACCAGGTAAGGCACACGGAGCTGTGTAGCTCTTTTTCGGAAGCGACCTCGTCACAAGTGACAGCTCAACGAAGTGGGTTACAACATGAACCACGCTCACCACCGTACACATCGGCGCCATCACCTCCACCACGAACACCATCACTCGGTCCACTCTTGTTCCATCCCCGCTGCAGTGAATGACACCTTTACCACCACCACCACCACCAACACCACATCTTATGTCACCAACCACGTTCACGACTGTTCACACCGTCACCACCTCTACCACTTACGCCATGTAAACAATCTCCAAATTCCCTATTTCCACAGCCCCCACGACAACGAACATCAGCACCACCAATGTCACCACCACCAGCACCACTATCGGAATGTCACCGCCACCACCGTCACCACCGCCACCACCGCCACCACCACCGTCATCGCCGCCACCGCCACCGCTGGTACCTGTCTCTGCGGGCCCCGACCTCTCGCGGAGCGGCGGAGTCCCCGAATCGGCGCCGTCCGCGTCTCGCTCCGCGCCGCGCGGGCTCCGCGCCTCGGGCTCTCCGTGCAGCAGGGGCTCCAGCAGGGACGCCTGCTGCTGCTGCTGCTGCATCTGCTGCTGCAGGGCGCGGACGCGGCCCGTGAATTTGTTGGGGTCCAGGATGTCGAGCACGGAGAAGGAGGTGGTGCGGTGCGCGTTCGCGGCGAGTGGCGCGTCCGGCCGGGCCGCGGCCGGCGGCGGGGAGCGCCCCGGGCTGCCCCCGCTGCAGGCCGTGGGCTCGGGCTCGGCGGGCAGCAGGGGGGGCAGCAGGGGGGGCAGCCCGTCGCCGCGGGCCCCGGCCTGGAGCAGCGGCAACACCTGCAGCGGCGGCGGCGGCTTCCCCGGCACCGCGGCGGGCAGCGTGGCCTCGCAGGCGAGCGGCAGCGCGTCCTCGCGGTGCGAGCTCATTCCGCCGCGCCGCACCGAGACTGCTGCTCCTCCTCCTCCTCGTCCGCCGCCGCCGCCTGTCCCGACAATTCCTCCACCTCCTCCTCCCCCTCCTCGTGCTCCTGCTCCGCCCTCCTCTTCCTTCTCCCGCTCTTCGTCTCCACCTCCTCTGGCTGCTGCTGCTGCTCTCCCACCTCCTCCTCTCACGGTTCTTCTCCCGTTACTCCTTCGCGTTCCGCCTCTCCCTCCTGTTCCTTCTGCGCCGCGAGCTGCTCTTCCTTGGGCCCGGAGACCCCCCTCGCGACGTCGCGTGCTCCACCGAACGACCACCCCCCCCCCCCCAAATATTTCTATTTATTTTTTAACTTCTAAATAAATAAATAAAGTCGCACGACGAAGTTGTTCCGTGCCGGGGCCACGAGGCGCCTCGTCCGAGTCCCCCGGTGACGATTCTGAACTTTGCCGTTCGAAAAGGAGGCGGGCGGCAGCGTCCGAGCGGCGCTCACCACCACGGGGGATCGCTCCGCTCAGCTGACCCGGGGCGCCTCCTGTCCCCTCCTCCTCCTCCTCCCGTTCGTCGCCGCGTCTCCCCGCGGGGCCCGCGCGCCGATTATTTATGAATTCGCGACTGGTCCCGCGTCTCGGTAATTGGCCCGGAGCCGCCCATCCCTGCGCGGCGCTGAGCGCTCCGCGGGGGACTCCGCCGAGGAGGCGGTCGGTGGCTGCGCGCCGCCGCTCGTGTCCGCGGGGAGGCGGCGGGCGCCGCTCGATCCACCTGGCCCGCGCCGTTATTTATTTATTATTGACTCGCTTCCTTGCTGGAGAGGCGAGCGAGAGAGGGAGGCGAGGAAGAATCGCCAGAGAGAGAGAGGAAGAGAGGGAGAGAGAGAGAGCGCGCTAGAGAGGGGGAGGGAGCGAGCGAGCGAGCGGTTCGGCTCGCCAAGGTGACGACTGATGTGCTGCTGCTGCTGCTGCTTCTCCCCGTGTCGCTCCTTCTCGTCCCGGCGCCGCGCGACTCCCCGCGCGGCGCGCAGCGGCCCGGGTATCAGCAGCAACTTTAGCCGCGCGCGCGTGTCCGTGTGTGTCCGTGTGTGTCCGTGTGCGTGTTTGCGTGTGTCCGTGTGTGTCCGTGTGCGTGTTTGCGTGTCTTCGTGTGCGCGCGCGTGTGATTGTATATGCGCGTGTGTGTGTTTGTGCGTCTGTGTGTGTGTTCAAGCATGTGCGTGTGCGTGTTCAAGCATGTGCGTGTGTGCTCGTCCATGTGCGTGTGTGTAGATGGATGGGGGTGTGGATGTATTCGTGTGCGCGTGCGTGTATGAATCGGCGTCTGGATGGGTGTCTGAACGGGTGTGTGTGTGATTGAATGGTTGTTTATGTATGCGCGTACGTGTTTGTGTGAATGCGTGCGCGTGCGCGTGTTGATGGGGAGCGGTGGCGCGGTTGTTCGCTCCCTGCGCTACGAACCCGGCGACCTTGGTTGGATTCCGGGTCACCCCCAATAACAGTGACGACATTATCCGCCGGTTCGGGCCTCCCCTAAGCCAAGTACCGGGTGCGTTTTATAAAACGTGATCACTGGGGAGACAAAGGCGGCCGGGGGTAGTGTTGGCCACCCACCCCCTCGTGTGCCGTGTCGGCCTTCAGAGGGTGCCCCAACAGTCTGCTAAAGGCTATACGGGGGATCTTTGTCTATGGATGGGTGTTCACTTATGCGTTCGTGTGAATGGGTGTGTGTGTGTGTTCGTGTGTTTGCGTAAGCGTACATATACACACATCGCACACCCAATATATGAACAACTCACAACACACACCTTACATATACACATATATTTACAAGTTACGCAACACACTTTTACACCACATGATTTGCATAAATACCCACGTGTGTATATGTACACAAGTATGCACATATGTCCACACTGCACACACTTACACAAAGACGAATACACACTGCACACTGACACACTTACACACTCACTCACACATACACGCTACACACAGACTTGCACACTAACACACTCATTCACACACTCACTCAGACACTCCCCCACTCAATCACACACTCACTCAGACACTCACTCAGACACTCACCCACTCAATCACACACTCACGCACACACTCACTCAGACACTCAGCCACTCAATCACTCACTCACTCGGTCAGACACTCAAACCACTCAATCACACACCCACTCAGATACTCACCCACTCAATCACTCACTCACTCGGTCAGACACTCACCCACTCAATCACACACTCACTCAGATACTCACCCACTCAATCACACACTCACTCAGACACTCACCCACTCACTCACTCACTCACACACTCACACACTCACTCAGACACTCACCCACTCACTCACTCACACACTCACTCAGACACTCAGCCACTCAATCACTCACTCACTCAGATACTCACCCACTCAATCACACACTCACTCAGACACTCACCCACCCACTCACTCACACACTCAGCCACTCAATCACTCACTCACTCGGACAGAGGGTGATTTCACACCAAGCCAGGCATCAGCACAACCTCTTGCGCCTCCCGTTATCAACTCCTTCCCGGGGGATGCATCGTTTAACATCGATTATGACGATGATGACTGCTGTGCTGGATGACAGCTGATGTGGCTGACTCACTGCTGTTGGCTGCATCACTGCTGTGGCTGGTTAACTGCTGTGGCTAGATCAATGGTGTGGCTGGATCCCGTGTGCGTACTTCTTGGATTATTTTAAACGATACTACGACTCCGTGTTTTTGTCCTCGCTGAGCCAAAAACACCCGGCTAGCACATCATAGGTGGTATTTCTTATTCAGTTCTGCGGCGAAGTCTTTACGATCCAAGACAGCGACTTCACCTCCCTAGAGAGACGACGACTATTAGTTTATGTGTGTGTGTCTATGTGAGTGTGTCTGTGTGAGTGTGTCTGTCTGTGTGTCTGTGTGAGTGTGTCTGTGTGTGTGTCTGTGTGAGTGTGTCTGTGTGAGTGTGTCTGTCTGTGTGTGTCTGTCTGTGTGTCTGTGTGAGTATGTCTGTGTGTGTGTCTGTGTGAGTGTGTCTGTGTGTGTGTCTGTGTGAGTGTGTCTGTGTGTGTGTCTGTGTGAGTGTGTCTGTGTGAGTGTGTCTGTGTGTGTGTGTGTCTGTGTGTGTGTGTGTCTGTGTCTGTCTGTGTAAGTGCGACTGTGGGGAGTGGTAGGCGAGCGGTTAGTGCGCCGCGTTATAAACCCGGCGACCCGGGTTCGATTTCCGCTCACGGCCAACATCAGTGATGATTATCTGAACCGGTCCTGGGCCTCCCCTAGGTCGACTCAGCCTCAAATTAGTACCTGGTGTGGTGTGTAAACATCGCCACTGGGGAGACAAAGGCGTTCGGGCGTGGTGCTGGCCACCCACCCCTATCGTGTACCGTTCCGGTCTTCATAGGTGCTCGCTAACAGCACTTGCCCCTACAGTTTGTTAAGGCTACACGGTGGATCTTTTATGTGCGTGCTCACAGAACTCGCCCCAACAGTCTGGTTAAGGCTAGACGGGGTGGGGATCTGTGTGTTTGTGTGTGGGAGCGGTAGTGTAGTGGTTCGCGCGCAGCGCTACAAACCCGGCGAGCCGAGTTCAATTTCTGCTCACGGCCAACACCAGTTGGCCATTATCTGAACCGGTTCTGGGGCTCCTCTAGGTCGACTCAGCTTAAAATGAGTACCTAGTGCGATGTGTAAAAACATTGCCACTAGGGAGACAAAGGCGGTCGGGCGTGTGCTGGCCATCCACCCCCTCGTGTGCCGTGCCGGCCTTCAAAGATGCTCACTAACAGCACTTGCCCGAACAGTCTGTTAAGGCTATATGGGGGATCTTTGTCTTTTGTGTCCGTGTGTGTCCGCGTGCGTCTGCGTTTCTTTGCGCGTGTCTGTGTATGTGTGTGTGTCTGTATATCTATACGTGTGTCTGCAGCTCACTATTTGCGTAAGTATGTGTGCTAAATGTCTCCGTGTATGACTCATGTGTCTGTACGCGCCTCTGCGTGTTTCCTTGTGTCTGTCTGTATGTCTCTCTGTATGTCTCTGTGTGTCCATGTGTGTCTCATTGTGCGCACGGATGTGTGTACCTATGTATTTGTCTAGGCAGGATTTGTATCTATTTCAGTGTGTACGCATATCCGTACGTCTGTATCTGCTGTATGTGTATATATATGTGCGTGTGGGGAGCGGTAGTGTAGTCGTTAGCGCGCTGCGCTATGAAGCCGGAGACCCGAGTTCGATTCTCGCTCACGGTCAACACAAGTGATGATTATTTGAACCAATCCTGGACCTCCCCTAGGTAGACTCAGCCTCAAATGAGCACCTGGTGCGGTGTAGAGTAAACGTCGCCACTAGGGAGAAAAAGGCGGTCGGGCGTGGTGCTGGCCACCCACCCCCTCGTGTACCCTTCTGGCCTTCATAGGTGCTCGCTAACAACACTTGCCCCAACAGTCTGTTAAGGCTGTACGAGGCATCTTTGTCTTTGTGTATATATGTGTGTAAGTTAATAGGACGACTTATCCTCAAACGAGTACAGTATATGATAAGGTCCGTTAAATATCACCACTGGGGAGACAAAGGCGGCCGGGCATGGTGGTGGCTACCCACTCCCTCGTGTCCATGCGGGCCTTGGGGGATCTTTGTCTTGTTTGTGTTGTGTCGCTATGTGTATGTCGTCAGTGTGTATGTGTGTCTATATATGTCATTGTGTATGTGTGTGTATATATCTCCATGTGTGTGTGTGTCAGTGTGTATGCGTCTCTTTGTGTATGTGTGCTCGCAAACAGCACTTGCCCCAAAAGTCTGTCAAGGCTATTCGGGGAATCTTTGTGTTTGTCTCCATGTGTACGTGTGTTTCTCCGTGTATGAGAGTGTGTGTGTGTGTAATCAGTGTGTGTGTGTATGTATGTTGTTGAACTTCTTTCGCACCGTACGCAGCCAACCGCGTTAATCGGAGGTGCTGAGGAGGAAGGACAACCAACTGAACACAACGAGCGGGGTGTGTAATGAGTGTGTGTGTAATGAGTGTGTGTGTAATGAGTGTGTGTGTAATGAGTGTGTGTGTAATGAGTGTGTGTGTAATCAGTGTGTGTGTAATGAGTTTGTGTGTAATGAGTGTGTGTGTAATGAGTGTGTGTGTAATCAGTGTGTGTGTAATCAGTGTGTGTGTAATCAGTGTGTGTGTAATGAGTGTGTGTGTAATGAGTGTGTGTGTGTAATGAGTGTGTGTGTAATGAGTGTGTGTGTAATGAGTGTGTGTGTAATGAGTGTGTGTGTAATGAGTGTGTGTGTAATGAGTGTGTGTGTAATGAGTGTGTGTGTAATGAGTGTGTGTGTAATCAGTGTGTGTGTAATGAGTGTGTGTGTAATCAGTGTGTGTGTAATCAGTGTGTGTGTAATCAGTGTGTGTGTAATGAGTGTGTGTGTAATGAGTGTGTGTGTAATGAGTGTGTGTGTAATCAGTGTGTGTGTAATGAGTGTGTGTGTAATCAGTGTGTGTGTAATCAGTGTGTGTGTAATGAGTGTGTGTGTAATCAGTGTGTGTGTAATGAGTGTGTGTGTAATGAGTGTGTGTGTAATCAGTGTGTGTAATGAGTGTGTGTGTAATCAGTGTGTGTGTAATGAGTGTGTGTGTAATCAGTGTGTGTGTAATCAGTGTGTGTGTAATGAGTGTGTGTGTAATCAGTGTGTGTGTAATCAGTGTGT